GGTTCCCACTGGTAATCTCAGCACTTTGGGAGGCCAGGGTGGGAAGATCATTTGAGCCCAGGATCAGAAGACTGGCATGGGCAACAAAGGGAGACCCCGTCTCTACAAAAATTTCTAAAAATTATCCGGGCTTAGTGGCATGTACCTGTAGTCCCAGCTACTTGAGATGCTGAGGCAAAAGGATCGCTTGAGCCTAGGAGTTCAAGGAGTAGTGACCCATGATTACAGCACTGCATTCCAGCCTGGGCAACACAGTGAGACCATGTCTCAAATTAAAAAAAAAAAAAAAAGAAAGAAAGAAAGAAAAGTAACTCAGTGCCGGGAATCCAGGAAGGTTTCTTAGAAGGAGAAATTTGTGGCTGGGCTTAGTGGCTCAAGCCTATAATCCCAGTACTTTGGGAGGCTGAGGCAGGCAGATCACCTGAGGTTGGAGTTTGAAACCAGCCTGACCAACATGGAGAAACCCCATCTCTACTAAAAATACAAAATTAGCTGGGCATGGTGGCGCATGCCTGCAATCCCAGCTACTCGGGAGGCAGAGGCAGGAGAATCGCTTCAAACCAGGAGGTGGAGGTTTCGGTAAGCCAAGTTCATGCCATTGTACTCCAGCCTGGGCAACAAGAGTGAAACTCCATCTCAAAAAAAAAGAGGAGAAATTTGTTTGTTCCCTCCTCACTCTGCTTTCTCACTGAGATTTAGGTTGAAGAGGAATTAGCCAGGTGAAGAAGGGGAGGTCTTCCAAGTAAGCAGAATAGCTTGTGGAAGTCTTGAAAAAGTATAATTACTTGGATGATAAAACAAGAGGCCCAAAACAGTTAAAGCATGGTATCCAGGAGAGTGGAGAAGAGGGTGGTGAGGAACAGGGGGACAGATGGCATTACGTTTCCTTTTACACCACGTTAACAGAGTGGGTCAGAGCATTGCATATGCATAAAATTATCTGAGAGAGAAGATTCTAAGAATTTTTTTTTTGAGGCATAGTCTCACCTTGTCGCCAGGCTGGAGTGCAGTGGTGTGATCTCGGCTTACTGCAATCTCTGCCTCCCGGGTTCAAGCGATTCTCTTGCCTCAGCCTCCTGAGTAGCTAGGATTACAGGCGCGCACCATGACATCCAGCTAATTTTTGTATTTTTTTAGTAGAGACAGCGTTTCACCATGTTGGGCAGGATGGTCTCGATCTCCTGACCTCATGATCCGCCCATCTCGGCCTCCCAAAGTGCTGGGATTATAAGGCATGAGCCACCGCACCCGGCAAAGACATTTTTTTTAAAAGAGGCAAAAAAGTCCCACTCTAAAACTAATTTTATTTCCCACTATTTCATGTGGGACTTTTAGAAGGGGGATGTCTCACTGATGTTATACACTGTTTTACTTAACATTTTGGGAAGTAACTGCCTCTGACTTTTTTGTTACAAATGTAATCGGTTTTTCTAATGGTGTCAGCAAATAAAAGGATGCTTATTATTTTTTTTAAAATAAGAAGGGGGATATCTCAAAATAAAACAACTTCAACAATTTACTCTAAGTTGTCACAACTCCAAAAGGGTGTAAATCACTCCTTCTTCTGAATTTTAATAGTGCTTTGTATCTTCCTTTTAGCAGTCATCACTTTCTGCCTCATCACAGATAGTATACTATCTGTGTCTTATCTTTATTGGTTTACCAGTTCCCTCTGAGAATGAACCATGTCTTATTCATGAATTTTGTAAAATTATTTTGCTGGCCAGGCATGGTGGCTCATGCCTATAATCCTAGTATTTAGGGAGGCTGAAGCACGTGTATTGCTTGAGCTCAGGAGTTCCAGACCAGCCCGGGCAACATGGAAAAACACCGTCCCTACAAAAAAATACAAAAATTAGCCGGGTGTGGTGGTACGTCCCTGCAGTCCTAGCTACTTGGTAGGCTGAAAATAGGAGGTTCTCTTGAGCCCAGGAGGTGGAGGTTGTAGTGAGCCGAGATCACAACACTGCACTCCAACCTGTGTGGCAGAAAGACTCTATTTAATTAAAAAAAAAATTACTTTGCAACTCACTCTTGAAAAGGCAAGGCATCAAGAGTTCCTAGCACATAATAGATATTCGATAAATATTGCACAGCATTGTGAAGTTACATGACATACAAGTTGAAATTCTAATCTTAGAGATATTCTAATCCAGAATTTCTCAACCTTTGTGAAGAGTCTGATGAAAACTATGGTCTCTCTTCAGAAAAATTCACCTACAGGAAACATTTTGCATATAATTTCAGGACCCACCATGCCTAGATGAGGAAGGTTGACTTACCCAAAGTCACAAGGCTGAAAAGTGGCAGAACCAAGCCTAGAACACAACTTTCCTTGTTCCTAATTCAGCAGTCTTCCCACAAAAAGGAACAATTTTAGTAGGGCATTTGTTTCCTACTGGGAACCTGCCTGATACAGGCCTGATATGTGGTAATGTTCTTCTCCTGAAATTCCTTACTGCAAGGACGATGCTCAGGAGAACATGGCAAGGTTAGTGGTTTCTAAAACCCAAATTCAATGGAATTGGACCTTGCAAGAAGAGAGAGGAAAATAGGAAACATGTGTGGTTGCATGGGAGCATCAAAATAAGCTAAAGAACCAAGAGATATTGAGGTCTCCCCAAAATCTCCCCTACTGTACTGTTTGCAGGAAGTGATAGACTTGATATTGAAAGCCAGGTCTTCCACCTTGCCTCAGCTTCTCAAGTGGCTGGGACTACAGGCACATGCCACCAAGCCCAGCTATATTTTAGAAATTTTTGTAGAGACAGGGTCTCCCTATGTTGCCCATGCTAGTCTTCTGGTTCTGGGCTCAAGTTGTATCCACCCCATAAGAAAATCCTCTGCACACACATAGAAATCTAACTGGAATCAAAGAAATGGGCTAAATAATTTCATAATGCTTAGAACTAATACCCACTTATCTGGGTTAAAGGATTCAAGGAGCACATAATATATTTTACATTTATTTGTTTGTTTGTTTATTTATTTTTGAGACAGAGTCTCGCTCAGTTGCCCAGGCTGGAGTACAGTGGCATGATCTTGGCTCACTGCAACCTCCGCCTCCTGGGTTCAAGCAATTCTCCTGCCTCAGCCTCCTGAGTAGCTGGGACTATAGGCGCATGCCACCATGCCCAGCTAATTTTTGTATTTTTAGTAAAGACAGGGTTTCACCATGTTAGCCAGGATGGTCTCAATCTCTTGACCTCATGATCTGCCCGCCTCGGCCTTCCAAAGTGCTGGGATTACAGGCGTGAGCCACCAAGTCCAGCAATTTTTATATTTTTAGTAGAGATAGGGTTTCTGCTATTTTGGTCAGGCTGGTCTTGAACTCTTGACCTCAAGGGATTTGCCTGACTTGGCTTCCCAAAGTGCTGGAATTAAAGGTGTTGGCCACCACACCTGGCCTATTTTAGATTTGAAAATACAATAAGAATCAGCTGGTTGGGTGTGGTGGCTCACACCTGTAATCCCAGCATTTTGGCAGACCGGGACAGGCGCATCACGTGAGGTCAGGAGTTGAAGAACAGCCTGACCAACATGGAGAAACACCATCTCTATTAAAAATACAAAATTAGCTGGTCATGGTGGCACATGCCTGTAATCCCATCTACTTGGGAGGCTGAGGCAGGAGAATCACTTGAACCCGGGAGGCATAGGTTGCAAGTGAGCCGAGATTTCACCATTGCATTCCAGCATGGGCAACGAGGGCAAAACTCCATCTCAAAAAAAAAAAAAAAAAAAAAGAATCAGTTATCCCAGCACTTTGGGAGGTAAAGGCAGGCAGATCACTTGAGGTCAGGAGTTCAAGACTTGGCCTAGTCAACATGGTAAAACCTCCCCTCTACTAAAAATACAAAAATTAGCCAGGTGTGGCAGCACACACCTATAATCCCTGCCACTTGGCAGGCTGAGGCACAAAAATCACTTGCACCCGGGAGAGAAAGGTTTCAGTGAGCTGAGATCACGCCACTACACTCTAGCCTGGGTGACAGAGTGAGACTCCATCTCAAAAAAACAAATGGCCAGGCATGGTGGCTCACGCCTGTAATCCCAGCACTTTGGGAGGCTGAGGTGGGTGGATCACCTCAGGTCGGGAGTTCGAGACCAGTCTGACCAATATGGAGAAACCTTGTCTCTACCAAAAATACAAAATTAGCCAGGCATGGTGGCGCATGCCTATAATCCCAGCTACTCGGAAGGCTGAAGCAGGAGAATTGCTTAAACCTGGGAGGTGAAGGTTGCAGTGAGCTGAGATTGTGCCATTGCACTCCAGCCTGGGCAACAAGAGCAAAACTCCGTCTCAAAAACAAAACAAAACAGAATCAGTATTTTGGCTAAAACTGTCATCTACCTCTACTTGCCACAAATCATTCACTCAACTAAACTGAATCAGCATTTCTACTGTGAGGTCCATAGTGAAGTAAGTATACTATTAGGAAGATATTTTTTTTAAGTATTACAAATAATAAAATCAGGCCAGGTACGGTGGCTCATGCCTGTAATCCCAATGCTTCCGGAGGCTGAAGCAAGAGGATCACTTGAGGCAAGGAGCTTGAGACAAACCTGGGCAATACAGCAAGACCCTGTCTCTATAAAAAAGTTTTTTAAATTAGATGAACATGGTGGCGAGAGACTGTAGTACCAGTTACTTGGGATGCTGAGATGGGAGGATCGCTTGAGCCCAGGAAGTCGAGGCTGCAGTGAGTCGTGATCATGCCACTGCACTACAACATGGATGACAGAGCAAGACTCTGTCTCAAAAAAAAAAAATTTTTTTCAAACTATTTGCTTTTTACTATATAACCTGGCCTAGGGATAAGATTGGAAGTTGGTAGAAACATCTCCGTCTGGAAATTCTAAGCTAATCACTGGCGACGACTGAAGGGCAACTCTATCATTTCTAGCTCCAATATTATCCAAACTATACATATCTGATCTTCAGGTTTTTGCAAAAGCTGCACATTACACTTTTCCAAAAGACTCTCCCTGCCCCTTACCTCTTCTGCTTTAATTAGGTGCTTGTACTTTCCAATGCCATGGGTGGGTTTTGTCTTGTAGGGCCGACTAGTACTTAGCAGAATGCCACCTAAAAGAGAGAAAATAAAACAAACTTGTATATTTGTTGTCGTTATTATTGTTGTTTTTTAAGATACAGGGTCTTGCTGTCACCCAAACTGGGATGTAATGCCATCTCATAGCTCATTGCAGCCTCAAACTCCTGGATACAAGATAGTCTTCTGCCTCAGCTCACGCCCCACCCACGACCCCAAGTAGCTGGGATTACAGGCATGTGCCATCATGCCCAGCTAATATTTTTTATTTTTTGTGGACCTCGGGTCTTTCTATGTTGCCCACGCTGGTCTGAAACTCCTTCCACCTCAGCATCCCAGGGTGCCAGGATTACAGGTGTGAGGCTCCATGCCTAGCTTGGACCACAAATAAATATATATATATATATTATATACATTAATATATACTTTGCTGGTATTATATATATGAAATACATATGTAACAAGGTAACATTAAGGATTTTTTTTTTTTTTTGAGACGGAGTTTCGCTCTTGTTACCCAGGCTGGAGTACAATGGCGCGATCTCAGCTCACCGCAACCTCCGCCTCCTGGGTTCAGGCAATTCTCCTCCCTCAGCCTCCTGAGTAGCCGGGATTACAGGCACGCGCCACCATGCCCAGCTAATTTTTTGTATTTTTAGTAGAGACGGGGTTTCACCATGTTGACCAGGATGGTCTCGATCTCTCGACCTCGTGATCCACCCGCCTCGGCCTCCCAAAGTGCTGGGATTACAGGCTTGAGCCATCGCGCCCGGTTTAACATTAAGGATTTTAAAAAATAATCTTGGAGTAGAGATCTTTCTAAGCATGAAACACAATCTAGAAATCAACTATTAATAAACTTAGCTATATAAAAAGTTAAAACATCTGTTCAACAACAACAACAAAAAAAATAGGCCGGGCACAGTGGCTCACGCTTGTAATCCCAGCACTTTGGGAGGCCAAGGCGGGTGGATCATGAGGTCAGGAGTTCGAGACCAGCCTGGCCAAGATGGTAAAACCGCGTCTCTACTAAAAAAAAAAAAAGCACGGTGGCGGGTGCCTGTAATCCCAGCTACTTGGGAGGCTGAGGCAGGAGAATCACTTGAACCTAGGAGGCAGAGGTTGCAGTGAGCTGAGATCACATCACTGCACTCTAGCCTGGGCAACAGAGCAAAAAAAAAAAAAAAAAAAAACCAACAAAAATAAAGTCAAGGGATAGATGACTAGAAAACATACAAAGCATATGTAACAGAGTAATGCTGATTTCCTTAACATACAAGAACTATATTAAAACCTCCTCTAGGGACAGACAGATGATCTAAACGGAGAAATTCTCCACTGCAGGAGTGGGAGGATTTGGTGGTAGCTGACTTCGTGCTGGTTTAAAGAGCCATGGATATTTCTTGATCCTGGACTGATTCTCAGTTTGTCCCCTTATTCTCTCCTTTTAGCTCCTAGAATATGCCCAATCCCCACTACTTGTCTTTCTCTGAGAAATTCTCTCCTGATAAAGCTACTGGCAGTAGGGAGATAAAATACATTCTCAGAGAGTTCTCATCTCTTCTTGTTCCTCAACAGGCAATAATCCTTTTGAGGTTTTCTTTTTCTCTTTTGAGAAAAAAAAAAATCCCTCCCCCTTCCCTTTTGAAATTTTTTAACTGTGACTGTATTGAGAAAGAGGCAGCAAAAATAGCCAGCAAAGTGGAAGAGCATAGAGTTCCATAAAGTATTTTTTAAATCTAATTTATTTGTGCTGATCTGAAAACAATCTCCAATAAATATTGTCAAATGAATAACAAAAACAGAAACTGAAAGTGTAGAATAATATGTGTATGCTACTGCTGGATTAAAAAAATAGGGTCTTTATATACATATACATTGTAGTAGACTCAGAGAGATAGACCCAGATAGCCGGAGCGTTAGCATGTGTCTGTGGTCCCAGCTACTCAGGAGGCTGAGGCGGGAGGATTGCTTGAGACCAGGAGTTTGAGACTATAGTGCAAACAGCTCCTGCACTTCAGCCTGGGCAACATTAGGAGACCCTGGCTCTAAATTTTAAAAAAAAAAAGGAAAAGAAAAAATAGGGTAGAGATAAGAAACTGAAATCAGAGGTAAGAAAGATCAAGTCTAGCTAGATTTTTGTATTCTAGAAATTCAAGTGTTATAACCTAGTGCTTATGGACACAGGCTGTTCAGTCAGATAGACCTGAGTTTAAATAGAAGTCCCACCTGTTACTTTCCTGGTTACTTGCACCAAATTTTTTGAGCTACTGTTTCTTCTTTATTTATAAATGAGGATAATAAAGAGGACTAAAGGATAACATGTTTATGTGTGTGTATCTATATGTATGTGTATGTATGTATACATGGCATCAAGATAAGGGCAGCAAGTCCTTCCTTGAAGAGGGATCTTCAAGCTGCTGTGGTCCTTCCTTCATTTCTTCAGGGTCACCACTCTGTGGGAGACTAAACACAACATGGTGTGAAGAAGTCTAAGTCAGTGGTCCCCAACCTTTTTGGCACTAGGGACCAGTTTCATGGAAGACAATTTTTCCACAGATGTGGCAGATGTGGGGAGTGGGGTAGTGGTTTGGGGATGATTCAAGCGTATTACATTTATTGTGTACTTTATTTATATTATTACATTGTAATATATAATGAAATAATTATACAACTCATCATAATGTAGAATCAGTGAGAGCCCTGAGCTTGTTTTCCTGCAACTAGACAGTCCCATATTGGGGGTGATGGCAGGCAGTGACAGATCATCAAGCATTATATTCTCATAACGAGTGCTCAACCTAGATCCCTCGTATGTCCAGTTCACAATAGGGTTCACACTCTTATGAGAATCTAATGCCACAGCTGATCTGAGAGGAAATGGAGCTCAGGTGATAACTTGAGTGATGGGTAGCAGCTGGGAGGGGCTGTAAATACAGATGAAGCTTCCCTGGCTTGCCTGCCCCTCATTTCCTGCTGTGTGGCCTGGGGTTTGGGGACTCCTGATCTAAGTGACATCAAGTGAAAGGTTTCTTAGGCCTCTCTTTTCTGAAATGGGCTTCCAAGCAGGTTTGCTCTACATGAGGCCAATCAGAGAGTCCTGGTTCAGAGAACTTCCCTGCATCTACAATCCAAACTATTTCATCAAGACAGCCCAGAAATACCATGGATCCCTTCCACAATATACATTAGTCCACATTTACAGTTACATGCCAATAACTGTATAGGTACTGAGATAGTTACAAAAACAAATAAAATATGCTACTTTCCCTTGAGATACTCGAGGTATACTATGAAACAAAGATGGAAAAGCAGATGGAAAAGCAGATAATCACCTTATGGTGTACTAAGTACTTTAATGGAGATGTGAGCAATGTCACAGGTGCCCAGAGGAAGGAAAAACTAACTCTCCCTTTGGGGGATGTGGGAGGGTGCAGGGGAATAAGTTCAGAAGAGGCAATAGCTGCACTCTTGAAAGCAGAGTAAGAATTTACCATGATTCTTCTGATGGTGGTTTTTGTTTTTTTTAAAAAAAAGAATTTTCCATGAAAGGAATAGGGAGGTATTTTTGGCCAGAGGTTCCCAAAGAGCAGACTATAACCAAGGTATCTTCCTGACTGATACTGCAGTTTCATCTCTCTGAATCTAAGACCTTTGACCTTTTGCGACTTTGGGCTCTAGACTCTCCAACCTGGGGACCCACCCCTGGAGCTGTTATCCAAATCTCTTTGATGGGCACACAGTGATCCATAGGCCAGGGCCTTGCCTTCTTCTATGGAAGAAGATTTTATTATGACTCAAAATAAGATCTCCTAAAAAGCAATGAACTCTCCAAAGTATGATCATCTATTCAACAAATATTTATTATTACCTTTCAGGGTACGCAGCAACAATTATACCCCACAACCATATGAATGGCACACACCAGAGCTGTGCAGTGTACAATCAACCCAATATCCATGGCAGGCTTGATAAGTACCATGCACTGCCATAGAAGTTGGGGTTACAACAATGAACAAAGTCAAAGTCTCTGCAATATAGAACCTGCCACCTAGGGAGACAGACAATAATATCAATGCAAGGTGATAAGTGCTGTCTATGATAAGCACTGTACATGGGAGGAGCACTTAGGCTGCACTTGAGTGTCAGGAAAGGATTTTTAGAGCAGGTAGCTTTTAAGTAGAACTTGAAGGATAAGCAGCAATTAGGATAAAACACGGTATAGGCAAAGAAAGAGCCAGAGAGAATTTTAAAGTAGAGCTTGAAGATCAGGGTGGCAAGAGTTGAGCTTGGAGAAACAGGCAAGGCTTTTAGGAAGGGGATGCCAGGCACTGTGGAAAGGGTTAGGATATAGCAGTGGACAAGGCCAACAAAACTCTGCTTAGGGAGATTATAGTCTAGTGGGAGGAGAGAATCATTAAGATAATAATCACAAAGTAAATATAAGATTACAAATGGCCGGGCGCAGTCGCTCATGCCTGTAATCCCAGCACTTTGGGAGGCTGAGGTGGGTGGATCATGAGGTCAGGAGTTCGAGACCAACATGATGAAACCCCTTCCCTCCTAAAAATACAAAAATTAGCTGGGCATGGTGGTGCATGCCTGTAATCTCAGCTAACCGGGAGGCTGAGACAGGAGAATCACCTGAACCCAGGAGGCAGAGGTGGCAGTGGGTCAAGATGACATCATTGCACTCCAGGCTGGGCAACAAGAGCAAAACTCTGTCTCAAAAAAAAAAGGAATTACAAATTGTGATAAATGATAAAAACAAAAAGCACAGAAAGGGTTATGGTGATACAATAGATAGACCTATGTTTAGAACAGAATATCCGGGAAGGTCTCTGTGAAAAAAGTGAGATTTTAACTGAAACCAGAATTCAGAAGAAAATTATAATAGTGGTTAAAGTTATCCCCAGGGAGAGAAGCGGCTAGAAAGGCAAGAAAGTTACTTATACTCATTTGCACCTTTTAAAATCTATTCCTTGTGTGTGTGTGTGTGTGTGTGTGTGTGTATATATATAAAATCCACCCAAAAATAAGTAAATAAAATTAGATATAGGAAAGGCAAATAGAAGTGTACTGGATTTTAAAAAATGGAGGATGGGTGTTCCAGGTAGAGGAAACAGCATATGTAAAGGCCCTAATGTAGCATATGGCTTGGGATATTCAAGGAACAGAAAAGCTGTCAGTGTGGCTGAAGCAAAGTGAGAGGGGCAAAGTGCACCTAAGAGATGAGAGTAGGCTGGGAAAAGTGGCTCACACCTGTAATCCCAGCATTTTGGGAGGCTGAGACGGGTGATCACTTGAGGACATGAGTTTGAGACCAGCCTGGCCAACATGGTGAAACCCTGTCTCTACTAAAAATACAAAATTGCTGTAATCCAAGCACTTTGGACGCCAAGGCGGGCGGATCACCTGAGGTCAAGAGTTCAAGACCAGCCTGACCAACAGGGTGAAACCCCATCTTAAAAAAAAAAAAAAAATACAAAAATTGACCGGTTGTGGTGGTACAGGCTGCCGGTAGCAGCCTGTAGTACCTGCTACTCAGAAAGCTGATGCAGGAGAATCACTTGAATCCGGGAGGTAGAGGTTGCAGTGAGCAGAGAATGAGCCACTGCACTCCAGTCCAGGTGACACAATGAAACCCTGTCTCAAAAAAGAAAGAGACCAGAGTGAGTAGTGGTTGAAACCAATGGTGCTGGGCCTTGTTAAAGGTTTGGATTTCATCCTGAACAGGCATAAGCAGGGAAAGTATATGTGTGATACATGTTTTTAAAAGATCATGTTAGTTGTTATGTGAAGGGAGTTGGAAAGATAAGACTGGTAGCCCCTGCTAAGCTGTTGATCTGTACCTACACCCTCCAACATCCCTCTCCTCTATTCCATCCTTGATAGCTGACAGATTAATCCTTTTAAAATACGAATCTAAACATGTTATTCTCTTTCATTAATCCACCCATTTATTTATTGCACACACACAATTGTTTGTTTTCAGACAGGCTGGAGGGCAGTGGTACAATCTCTGCTCTCTGCAACCTTGACCTCCCTGGGCTCAGGTGATTCCCCCCATCTCAACCTCCTGAGTAGCTGGGTCTACAGGTGTGTGCCACCATGAGAGGTTAATTTTTGTCTTTCTTGTAGATATAGGGTTTCACCATGTTGCCCAGGCTGGACAATTGTTTTAAAATATAGGTATATATTATTTGTCAGGCACTATATCAGGCACAGTAAAGACAACAATGAATGAGACAGAAGGTCTCTACCATATTTTAAATTTTTGATGGTTTTCTGAAATTCTTAGGTAAGCACTTAAGGATCTTGCTTTTATCATCTAGATCTAACTGCTTCATCTCATTCTCCCACTCCTCTAGACTTCTAAAACTCTGCGCCCCAGCCACAGAGCTACATTTGCCATTTTGTAAAAACCCCACAATTTTCATGCCTCTGTGCCTTTCTCTGCTGTTTACCCTGCTGGGATAATACCTCTTGGACAGTGAAATTCTACATAGCCTCTAGAGCCAGCTCAAATGCTACCATTGCTGTGAAACTCTTCTACTGCCTTAAATATACAAAGATCATCAAGAGTTTAATTCATAGTGATAGCTTTATCATGCCTCCATTATATAATAAAACATTTTGTGTAAATAAAAAAGAAAACTCGGATGTCAATCACCATCTTTAAGTACATAGAAACTCAATTATCTATCTGTAATTTCAAAAAGCAGAACCAAAAAGGATCTTGGAGATGATGACACATCTTAGGTGAAAGTATCACAGATGCTTGCCTCAGCTTCATATCTACTGGAATTCCTTGGCAAGGAGGCATTTTTAAATTCAGTTTGGGGCAATACTTATAATTAGAGCAGCTGCTTAATTAAGAAGCTGGTTCAAACTACTGTTGAATAAACCATTCTCCCCCTTAAATAAAAGGTTTTGCTCAAATTACCAGTGGTTAAACTGCTTAATTAGCCAGTTGTTTTAATTATAAAATTTACAAGTTTGAAAGCCTAAGATTTCCAATAAATTCAACTGAATTCTTTTCCCCTGTGTAGTGTCAATAACTCAGTCTTCTGCTGTCACATTAACACTGTAGCCTCCTGAGAGAAAGGTAACTCTTCACTAAAGAAAGACACAAAACCCCAGGTTTTCAAAAGGAGTCTTTGAAAATCCTTCTATTATCATAATTATAAGATGTAATCATGAACTGATATTTCCCACAGCACTCCCCTTTCCTTCACATATGCCAGAGACAACTCTTCTTCAATGTCCTTGTTATTAAACTGAGAACTAAACCCATCAATCCAGGATGTGGATAAACAACTTTGTTTTAATTATTTCTCATTCGGAATTGGGATAAGCATTTTTAGCAGGGCTATGCAGGTAGGGAAAGAGAAAAATAATTAGGGTAGTCCCAGCCAAGAAGCTAATTATAAGTTGTTCTCTCCAGTCAATAGACTGTAAGGCCCTCAAGGGCAGAAACAATGCCACCACCTGGCAAGCAGTATGTGCTCAGTAAGTGTATATTTAAAAACAAAACAAAGCAAAACAAAAATGGTTCTCAAGATATTTTACCAAAACAATCTGCAATGATTTGTCCCTGGCAGCTGCCCACATTTTTCAAAATTTCTTTTCCAACTTCTTTCAGTTGTTCTAATTACACTGAACTACTTGGATCTGAATATACCATGCTTCTCTGTCTCTGCCTTTTTGTTCATGCTGTAATGAGAGCACTCTAAGTTCCCTTCATCTAGTCTCTTTAGATCTCATTTTATATATTTACTTCTATCTGTCTATTTACATTTAAATCAGTAAGTATGAGAAAAGCCATAGCCTGATGATGGATATACAAAGCAGGTCTGGAATAGTAGCAGTATTTATTAATAATAATAATTACAGCTGCTACTTTTTGAGCATTTTGTATCTTTTGTCTCACTGAATCTTCAAATGGTGCACTGTAGTTTATATTATAATTATTCTTTTTTTTTTTTAAAAGAGACAGGGTCTTGCTCTGTCACCCAGGCTACAGTGCAGCGGTAATGTTCATAGTTCACTGTAACCTGGGCTCAAGCAATCCTGCCTTATCCTCCCAAGTAACTGGGATCACAAGCCTGTATCACCATGCCTAGTTAATTTTTTTAAAAAAATGTTTGTAGAGACAGGGTCTTGCCATGCTGCCCCGCCTGCTCATTTTTTAAAGTGAGGAAACCAAGCTACAGAGAAATAGCCAAGGATAACAGAATAAATATGTAGTACAGTTGGAATCCAAACTTACTCTAGAGCTCTTGCTCTTAACCATACTTTATGTTCTCACATGGTTCTATGCCATGTTCACATAAAGGGGTAGGATTTGGTTCAGGCCACTGTTCTCAAAGATATGGTAGGCTTCCTTCTAGGCAAAATTATTACAGAATGCAAAATTATTACAGAGTGCTAAAGGGTCACTTAAAGCAGGCCAACTACATCCAGTAAAAACTGCTTACCTACAGAATAGATGGGTTTCTCTCCTGAAGTTCTAAACCTAAAAGGAGGGAGAAAATATGTTGAATATGATTAGAAACCCATATTTTATGTGCATAGTTAGCAAAATTTATATTCTCTCACTAAAGATATGTCAATACTGCTTGAACCTGGGAGGCAGAGGTTGCAGTGAGCTGAGACAGTCCCATTGCACTCCAGCCTGGGAGAAAGAGTGAGATTCTGTCTCAAAAAAAAGAAAAAAGAAAAACAGTGGGGAGTTTGCACTCTATATAAAGAGCAGTTTATATAAAAAAAAAAGACAGGGCCGGGCTCGGTGGCTCACGCCTGTAATCCCAGCACTTTGGGAGGCCAAGGAGGGTGGATCACGAGGTCAAGAGATCGAGACCATCCAGGTCAACATGGTGAAACCCCGTCTTTACTAAAAATACAAAAAATTAGCCGGGCATGGTGGCGCATGCCTGTAGTCCCAGCTACTTAGGAGGCTGAGGCAGGAGAATTGCCTGAACCCAGGAGGGGAGGTTGCAGTGAGCCGAGATGGTGCCATTGCACTCCAGCCTGGGTAACAAGAGCGAAACTCTGTCTCAAAAAAAAAAAAAAAAACACAATTAGGATTTGATCCTAATTACAACCCTAATTAGCTCCGTCATGTCAGAACAACAGATTAACCTCTCCGGACCACAGTTATTTATACAAAATTAAGATATCATCATCTGTTTTACTAGGTCACTATGAGGGTCAATTCATTCATTTAACAAATTTTATTAAATGCCTACTATGTGTCAGATACCATTCTAGGCCTGGGAATAGGGCAGTAAACACAACTAAAAGTCCATGTCCCCATGATGCTTATATTTAGGGGGCAAGGAAAGACAGTTATATTTTTATATGTACAAAATGAACCAGATGGTGACATCTCCTATAAAGAAAAATAAAGCAAAGTAAGGGGACAGAGATTGATGGAGGGGTGTATATTTTACATAGGGTAGTCAGGGAAGGTCTCTTGGATTGGATGTCATTTGGGCAGAAACCTGAATAAACTATAGGGAAAGCCATATGGATATGTGAGGAAAGAATATGCAAAGATCCTGGGGTGGAAAGGTGCTTAGATTATCAAGGAATAGGAAGCCACAGAGCAGCTGAAGCTGAGTAAGTAGTATAAAATGAAGATACAGCTTATGGGAGGTCCTGTAGGCCATGGTGAAGATTGCAGGTTTTATTTTGAGTAAGATGGGATACCACTGGAGAATTTGGAGCAAAGGAGTAATATGAGCTAACTTGGCTTTAAAAGAATCATTCTTATGTTCATAATGTTAGGTCTCTTTATAGATAGATTGATTGTAAGACAGAGTCTCACCCTGATGCTCAGGCTGGAGTGCAATGGCGTGCTCTCGGCTCACTGCAACCTCCACCTCCCAGGTTCAAGTGATTCTCCTGCCTCAGCCTCCCAAGTAGCTGGGATTACAAGTGCCTGCCACCACACCCGACTAATTTTTGTATTTTTAAGTAGAGATGGGATTTCGTCATGTTGGTCAGGCTGGTCTCAAACCCCTGACCTTGTTATCCCCCTGCCTCAGCCTTGCAAAGTGCTGGGATTACAGGTGTGAGCCACCATGCCCAGCTAGTTCTCTCTTTTTTTTTTTTTTTTTTTTTAAAAAAAAAGACACTCTGCTTTACTGTGAAGAATAGAAGACAAAGGTAAACAGAGAGAGACAAGCTGGGAGGCAAAGTGATGGTAGTAAAGCAATGAGAAGATAAAGAGCGGGCCCTGAGTGGTTTAGCAAAACAGAAAGCATGAAGCAAAAACTGGAGAAATAAATGGTTCTAGGTTGAGCACAGCGGCTCATGCCTGTAATCCCAGCCTTTTGGAGGGATCACTTGAGCCCAGGAGGTCAAGACCAGCCTAGGCAACGTGGTGAAACCCTGTCTCTATAAAAAATACAAAAATTAACTGGGCATGCTGGTATATGCATGTAGTCCCAGCAGCTACTTGTGAGGCTGAGGTAGAAAAATCACTTTAGCCTGGGAGGTCAAGGCTGCAGTGAGCTGTGATCATGCCACTGCCCTCCAGCCTGGGCAACACAGAGAGACCCTGTCTCAATTTAAAAAAAAAAAAAAGGTTGTGTATATATTTCAAAAGTAAAGCCAACAAGTTTTGCAGGAGAATTAACAGCATCCACTGGACATGAGGGTTCATGCGTATAATCCCAGCATTTTGGGAGGCTGAGGCAGGCAGATCACCTGAGGTCGGGAGTTCAAGATCAGCCTGGCCAACATGGTTAAACCCCGTCTCTGCAAAAATTAGCCAAGCATGATGGTGGGTGCCTGTAATCCCAGGTACCTGAGAGGCTGAGGTGGGAGAATCACTTGAATGTGGGAGGTGGAAGTTGCAGTGAGCCAAGATTGCGCGACTGCACTCCAGACTGGGTGACAGAGAGAAACTCCATCTCAAAAAATAAGAAAAAAAGAATTAACAGCATCAAGGATTAACTGCAAGTATTTTTGCCTCAGCAACTAGATGAATGGAGATGGTATTAAATGAGAATGGGGAAGAAGCAAGATGGCAGAGGAGATGCTTGATGTGCTTATAGATATGCAAGTGGATATTATAAAAATATGCTGTGTGAACTATGAAGCCAAACACAAATATTAGCTACATTTAATTATTGTTATTAATATCCTTACCTTAAGAGAGAAGAGGCTTGCTTAAAAATGGTATTGTTCCTCAGGCACAGCACCTACAGCAAAACAGTCTTGTTAGGACAATCTTGAGCATTTACAGACCTCCGAGTATATCTTCTCAGAGAGGCAAGAAACACACAGTACACACACCAAAAAAGGACAAAAAGGCTCTTATCTAGCAAAGAAGCTATCCCATAATTAACACCAAGCATGCAAACAAACCAAGGTCATCATTCTCATTCCACCCACTATAGTAAATGCTCAAAAAACAGAAGTTCCCCTCCCACACTGCTTTTTTGCTGTTGACCATTTCCAACTTAATCTATTTTTCCTAATATCAATCAACAATTATTATGCATCTGCCATCCACAGCATCATGATAAGGGCTTTATTAAATCTTCTTTAATTCTCAAAACACTGCAAGACAATTTTACAAGTGAGGCAACTGAGGCCCAGAGAGGTTATATTCCAAAAAATTATACCTAATAAGCTACTAAGAAGACTGACTTACTACAAAAGCTATGCATCTATTACAGCACACTGTCTCTCTCAGTAACGTGATAACAATACTCCACAATAGAGGTAAGGACAAAAAAAAAAAAAAAAAACAATTACCATGATAGCTACTGTAGCATCGATCTCCCAGACTCAAGTGATTCCCTTGCTCCAGCCTTCTTTTGTTTGTTTGTTCATTTGTTTTATGGGAAAGAACAACAAATGCCTGTTCTTAAGATCCCATAACATAAAGAGAAAATCCTGCCCACTATGGATAACATTTAATTCTTTCAACATGGATGTATGAAAACTCTAGTATGCAAAACCAAAGAAAATCTGAGAAACTGTCAGTCAAGAGGAGCCTATGTAAAAGATGATGACTAAATAAAATATAATATCCTGAATGGGATCTGGAACAGAAAAAGGACACCGGAGAAAAAGTAAGGAAATCTGAACAAAGTATGGACATTAGCTAATATAATACACCAATACTGACTCACTAATTATAAAAAATAAACCACACTAGGCTGGGCGCAGGGGCTCATGCCTGTGATCTCCGCACTTTGGGAGGCTGAGAAAGGTGAATCACTTGAGGTCAAGAGTTCAAGACCAGCCTGGCCAACATGGTGAAACCACGTCTCTACTAAAAATAGAAAAAATAGCCAGGTGTGGTAGTACACACCTATAATCCCAGCTACTTGGGAGGCTGAGGCAGTAGAATTGCTTGAATCCGGGAGGTATGGGTTGCAGTGAGCAGAGATCACACCACTGCGCTCCAGCCTGAGTGACAGAGCAAGACTCTACCAAAATAAATAAACAAACAAACCACACCAATGTAAAGATAATGGGCTGGGCACAGTGGCTCACGCCTGTAATCCCAGCACTTTGGGAGGCCGAGGCAGCAGATCACCTGAGGTTGGGAGTTTGAGACCAGCCTGACTAACATGGAGAAACCCTGTCTCTACTAAAAATACAAAATTAGCTGCGAGTGGTAGAGCATGACTGTAATCCCAGCTACCCAGGAGGCTGAGGCAGGAGAATCACTTGAACCCAGAGAATAACTTGAACCCAGGATGCGGAGGTTGCAATGAGCTGAGATCATGCCATTGTACTCCAGCCTGGGTAACAAGAGCAAAACTCTGTCTCAAAAAAAAAAAGGCAATAATAGGACAAATTGGGAGATATAGGAAGTCTGTGTACTATCTTTGCATGTTTTCTGTAAATCTAAAACTATTCTAAATAAAGCTTATTTTGTATAAGCCAGGTTTAGTGGTTCACACCCATAATCCAAGCATTTTGGGAGGCAAAAGTGGGAAGATCACTTGAGCCTAGGGTTTTGAGACTAGCCCGGGCAGCATAGGGAGACCCTTTCTCTACAAAAATAAAAAAATTAGATGGGCATGGTGGTGCACACCTGTGATCCCAGCTACTTGAGAGGCTGAGGATCACTGGGACCCAGGAGGTTGAGGCTGCAATGAGCCATGATTATGCCACTGCACTCCAGTCTGGGGTTGACAGAATAAGACCCTGACTCAGTCAAAAAAAAAAAAAAAAAAAGCTTATCTGCCAACTGCTGTACTGAATGTTAAGAACAAAATGTAACTACAGGGACGAATCTTGAAAACATTATACTAAATAAAAGAAATCAGTCACAAAAGACCAAATATTATATGATTCTATTTCTGTGAAATATCCAGAATAGGCAAGTCTATCGAGAAAGAAAGTCAATTAGTGACTGCCTGGGGCTAGAAGGTCTGGGGAGCTAGGGATGACAGCTAAGGGGTATGCAGTTTCTTTTTTGGGATGATGTTCTCAAATTGCTTGTAGTAATAGTTGTAAACCTCTGTGAATATATTAAAAACTACTGAATTTCACACTTTAAATAGGTAAATTGTATATTAACTATATTTGTGAACTATATTCAATAAAGCTATCAAAAACTGTTTGCACAGGAATTTGGATGGTTGGAGACACAGACATACATTTGTATTAAGCAGCTAAGCAATATTGCCGGCATTGTATGATGAAGTCAAAATAGGCGGTGTGAACAACAAGCACACCTGGCAGGAAATCCAGGGGGAGATGGCTAAGAGAAATCCTTAGCTCTTGCAGAGTTGCAGACGTTGCTGAGGATCTGCTCTGTTATGAACCCTCTTCCTAGACAAATGCATACAGACATGGATATACAAAGAGTTTGCCTACTACTTCAGGAAAGTCACCAAAACTCTTATCACACAAGAACCCCTACACTAAACCAAGAGATCCTCGGAAGCAAGGGTCATGTCATTTTCCTCTCAGGCATATTGTAGACAATCAAGGTTTGTTTTGATGAATAAATGAATTAGAAAGAAGTGAGTAAATGATAATTATTGCTACCATGTATTAAGCACCCACATCTACTTTATTGAGTATCTACCATGTGTCTAAATCACAATATCTTTACAAGATAAGCATTATTATCCCCACTTTACAGTTGAGGAAACAGCTTAAGTAACCTACCCAAAGTCACACAGCTACTATTGAAACTAGCATAGGGTCTTGGGTTTCTCTGACACCAATATCCATAATTTCCCCACTAGTCTACACCTTTTCTCACATAAATGAAGGTGTTAGTGCTTAGGAAATCAGGAGTGGGGAAGATAAAACTTAGGAAAAGTCTCCCAGAGGAAGTGAGACCATGAAGATTGGGAAGGATATGAATAGACAAAAGGGCAAAGTGTGCAGATGTTCCCAAAAAGCCCAATTGAATCAGGTACCAAAAGACTTTGTAAAGTACGTGTACAATATACTGAACCTAATATCATGTCAGCATGAAAGAGTAGGAAACTGGGGCCCCAGGAGAGGTCAGGTCAGCTCTCCCAACTACTGACCATGTAACTTGAAGTTAGAGAAGATGACTCTAAAGTCCCTCCAGGGCCAGGATCTATTAACCATGACAAACAGAACAGATATGAGAATGAACAGAATATATTTTTAAATGGGCCACTTCATATAGAAGAGGTACTGGATGGGAGAAAAAGATCAAAATGGGACTGCTTTCTCATTTTAATTGTTCAGATTTCTGAGTCTCTACAATAACTAAGTATTTAATTATCTAAAAGCCAAAAGAGTTGACAACTTTTTGGAAGACATTCAAACTGTGGTTTGAACTTTGTCAGCTCTGGGAAATGTGCTTCCTCTCTCCTGCAATGCTTGGCATTATTTATCAGGACAAAAGTAATCTATTTGGGGACTGTATCTATAATTACCCCCTCCCCCCATCAGCAAATGAAGAGCAGCTCTGGCTCTGCAAGTGGAGGAGGAGGGTGGTGACGCCAACAAATGAATGAGTGAGGACACAGCTGCTGCAGTGGGTAACAAAAATACTCCCATGAGCCAGTAACCAAGCAAGGACGGCACAACTACCAAAAAACTGAAGTCACAGGGCAAAATCTATAGCATGCGAGTAGCTTAAGACACCGGATCCTGGGGTGGGTGGTGACAGCAATGGGTCAGGGGTCTTTGACGCAAGCAACTGAGAGCTCTTTCATGAAAAGGAACAGAATATATTTGTGTATTAATAAATGTTATTTAAAATAGCATTGTTACTACCATTTATTGATTACATTATTTTTGCTAGGCACTTTATGCATACTATTTCTTTAAAAAAAAATTTTTTTTTAAGAGACCGGATCTCACTATGTTCCCCATGTTGTCTTAAAGTCCTGGCCTCCAGCAATCTTCCTGCCTTGGCCTCCCAAAGTGCTGGGATAACAGGAGTAAACCACCAGGTCTAGCCCATATTATTTCAATTAATCTTTACAGCAACCTTCTCTGATAGGGGCATTACTGCGATAACTGCCTCAATTTTACACAGGAAAAAAAGAAGTTTATGTAAATTGCTCAAAGTAATTGGTTCGATAAGAGAAATGCAAACCCAGGTCTGCTTGAATCCAAAGTCCATCCTCTCTATTCTTCCACACTACCTCTCAAAAAAGTGATACCAATTTACACTAGTGAAGTTCATAGCTAATGATAGCAGCCATTCAGTAATCCTACCGTTTACTGGGCACCTGCTATATGCCAAACACCATCTCCTTTAATCCTCGCAACCATTCTGTGAGGCATAGTTCTTTGTATTTTCTTTTTTATAGATTTAGGGAGTACAAGTGCCATTTTGTTAAATGGTTACATTGCATATTGATGAAATCTGAGTTTTTAGTATAACCATCCCTCAAATGAGGAACATCGTACCCATTAAGCAATTTATCATCTCTTATCCCCCTACTACCTTCCCATCCTTCCAAGTCTCCAATGTCTTATTCTACTCCTGTAGATATTTCTACCCCATTTTATAGTGAGGAAATCAAAGCTCAGAAAAGTGAACTAAGATGTCTTTATAAAAATAGAAAAAAAATGTGCCTCACACAACTAATAAGTCTTGTTCTAGCTGACCCCACAATCAGTGCTCTCTCCACTACCATATACTATATCCTATACTCCTGTTGCAAAGCAAGTCTGCTATTACATGACAGCTCTTATTTTATTCCCTGAGATGAGAGAGCACCTTGATCTATATTCC